CTAACCATGATTCAGTTTCCATCAATGAAACTTTCTGTGTTGAAAAAAAAAAAACTAAGAGTAATAATAAATAAATATCATATATATAACAACAAACTAGTTGAGCAATGAACCGGAATAAAGGGCATCATAAATTTGGTAGCTAACGTTGGTTTCTCATAAACAAAAGCATGTGTATGTAAAAACGACACTGTGCTGAGAACAGAAAAAGAGTCCCACTTTCGTGTGCAAAAGCCGAAAGGAAATGGAGCTGGTTTAAGGAGCTAGAACTTCACTAGTTTACAAAAACATGACCTAATTTTTTCTGGTAACCTACCTCAAGAACATGACTTGTTGTTTAAGATATGTTATTATAGCTTATCCTGTTTGCCAATTCAATGAAGTCGAATTTTGATTCCTCAAACCAGAACTGTGCTAGCTTACTAAAGTACCAATTTAGAATTTACATGGACCTTGTTGATCCGACAAGTAGCATCGATTTCAAGCATTCTTTTAGCACTATACCCTCAACTCTTATCACAAATTGATATGGTTTAGTCGTGATCATCCATTAGGACGCTGCACTTTTTTCTTTTTCTTTTTCTTTTTTTATTGATTTTTTAGGAGAAAGTTTCAATTAAAAAAAAAAAAAACTCTAATTTAAGCCATCGTTATTTGCTTATTTGTACCCAATCATTTGGGGGCATACGCTATGCATCTACAAATTTCCAATTGGCTTCTTTCAATCTAAGGTGTCTTAGTCTTCTTTTTGGCGGTGTTGCAGGTATTAGAAGATAATCCTTGGAATGGGATCGGTGCCCCTTTCGGTATTTTCTCGACCACAAACGATCCTTGTGTCATTCTTTATTAATCCAACTAAGGAAAAAAAGAACATATCTTTTCCTCTAAAAAGTGCTTTTAATATGCAAAATACATCTACAGAGTGTTAGGAAAGATGCAACAAACAAAAAGTACAGAGCTAAAAATAAAAATAAAATATTAATTTTTTTTTTAATAATATTAACTTTTGGTGGTTAGTTTTACGTGAATCCATCAATTTAATTCATCCCATATATCGAAAAGTGAAAAAATATAATAATAATAAATAAATAATTCTGGTTCAGTTAACCTATGGTTAATTTGCGGTTAAAAGGACAACACAGTGACGTCAATAAATGTAAAAAATTAGAATAAAAATTTGTTAAAAACAAACAAAGATTTTATCAAGAGGTGAAAGTTTCAATCTAAAAAAATAATTTTATCATGACGTTATTGCACCCAATCATTTAAAAAGCTCTGTCATATTTACCTTTTTCTCATTTCAAAGAGGCGGAGTTGCTCTAAAGGATGATGATTCAAAAAAACAATGCCTCTTTCAGTATTTCTCGGCCACGAACGACCTTTGGACCATTTTTTATTGATTTAATACTTCCTTGTATGTCTCCACCTTTTTTTCCTTTAATATATTTAAAAAGTTTTTCTACTATATTTTTTTATTGTGATATGTATCCACACGAACTTTTCATCAATGTACATTTTGCTTCCTAAGAGGTTTTAAAAATTTTATTTAGTCTCTTTATTTTATTTTCTTACGAATTAGTTTTTAATTAAAAGCTTTTTTTAATCATTTTATTCTAAAATAAATATAATTTAGTCTTTAAATAATTTTTTTCCAATTAAGTCTTTACATGTAAAACCGTAAACTTTGTCAAATAATAAATATACAATATCATAGAAAATAAAATGTTAACAAAACTACAATAATATCAACTGCAATGATTTAAAAAATAATCACATCTTTTCAATCAATCCAATTGAACAAAATTATCAAGAAGTTTACGGACGGAGGCATTATTTTGACATAAAATTTATTTTTTAACTTTGTGTATGTATGTAACATATTGTGATTTTGTTGTGTGAGGATAAATTGATTGATTTGTGCATGGTGTAAGATAGTTAAATTGGCGTATTTGGTTTTGTAATTAAAGATTTTTTAAAAAATGTTGATTTTGTAAGTGTTGAGTTATTGTTGTTAGATTATAAAAAATAATAATATATTGAAAAAATTGAGATGAGAAAAGAAATTCAAAATCAAAGCAAAAACACTTAATATATCTAATATTATATGAAAATTTTGACAAAGTTCACTATTTAACATATAGGGATTTAATTTTAAAAAAAATCATTTAGAGACTAAATTTTATTTATTGTAAAGTATTATGACAAAAAAACTTTCAATCAATGACTTATTTGTAAGAAATATAAAGGAGGCGAAACAAAGTAAATTTTCAAAAAATAAAAAATAAAAAAGAAGGACTAAAATTTACATTAGTGAAAAACTTTCTTGCGACCACTTGTCAAATTTAAGGGCATTGGTAATGCAAGATGAGGAAATAGTGTAATAATAACAAAAATTTAACGTACATTTGATTATACAATAAATAATAGAGGATTGTTTAACAAAACTAAAAAAGAATAAAAAAAAATGTGCAAAAACATTAACCTATTTTTTATTCGTAAAACTATAAAAAGAAAAAAAAACATCTTTTCCTTCAAAAAAAGTGCATGTAATTTGTGAAATTAAAAAGTGTCAGGAAAGTTGCAACAAATGCATTGGGGAAAAAGAAGAAGAAGTAATATTATTCACCGATCTAACTAAGGTTTTGAATAATATTAAATCATTTGATGGTTAATGTAACGTGAAATTCATCAATTATTTCAAGATGAATAGAGCTACCTCATTAAATACCCAATTCTTTTGAAAAAAAAACAAAGCATGGTCACGTTTTCTTCGCCAGTCAGTTGTCGGGTAAAGGCCCCTTTAAGGCCATGTTAAAACACAGGCTGGCGATGGTGGACCCAGCGTAAGCAGAAAATCCTTCATCTGGCCCAAATTTGTACTGATGCAAGTGCTAAGGCAAATTTTTGAAAGCACGGTTTTGTCATGGCAAAAATTCTTACTACCCAAATAACTGTCGTTTGCTTTGTTCTGATATAAAGCGTTTTGACCGCTGGAAAAATGGATTTTCTGAGGTACCTGAAAGCACCAATTTGAAGTTTCTTATAAGATTACTCCAACAATATCTACGGCTACAATCAAACACCAATGTTGAAGTTTCTTCTAGAATTCCTCCAATAATATATTAATATCTTCGGCTTTAATCAAACACACGTTACACGTTGTGATGTGGACACTCATTAGTGGGACATACGGCACTGGTGAGGGTGTTTGGGTTCTTCATTTGGGTTGGTTGGTGTCTGTCAGTTCAAAACTTTAAAAAGTAAAAGATAGGTTGTTCTTTCTGGGCTGGCCGTTCCCCTTTTCTTGGGTCTATATTGGGCCTCTAATGTCACCCAACGAAACCATTACTATTACTAAAAAAAAACTAAAAGACCTGATGTTTTAACTGTTCATTACTGTGTCATTTCCTTCTTCTTTTTTTTTTTTTTTTTTTTTTGCTCTTTTAGAGGCTGGCCAGCAGCCCAGCCCTGGAGAAGCAGGCTCAGGTAGGCCTGGCCTGGCTCGTAGGCCTGCACAAGCCTTCTCATTTGCTTTTTTTTTTTTCTTTCAATAATTTATTTTTATATTTTTATCATAAAATTATGTGTGAAAATAAAAAAAAATTATTATTTTTTAGTTTTACATACAATTTAACAGTAATAAAATATATATGATATTTTTTAAAATTTTAGTTTGAACATATATATCCGATTATATTATTTTTATCGTTTAAAATTTATTTTTTCAATTGTTTGGTTCTTATTAAAATTCTCATAAATTAATTTTTTAATATAATTTTATTTTTTATATATTTATTTTGAAATAAAATTTAAGAACGTGATTATTTTATTTTTTAAATATATTATTATAATTTATACGATTTATTATTTTTATGATTTTTAAACGAGGATAGTTTAGTTGCATACATAAATCCTGATGTGAGAGAGAGAGAGAGAGCTAATAGTGTGTCTTAAATAATTTGACTTAATTTTTTTAAAAATAATAATCAATTAAAAAAATAATTTAACTAGTTCTATTCTAATTCACTTTGGCACAATTGTTTAGTTCATACGGCTTTCTATTTATTCAATCCATTTAGCTGCTTGTTAGAACCATTGGTAACTGTATAATTAACAATCTTTGGCTGCCTACTAATAGCTTCCATTTTTATCGAGCATGGGAATCAGCAACAAATTGTTATGATATACAAACCTGCCTGTCCACCACTGGATTCTAAGTGTCTTCAACTTCCTACTTGTCCGCACGTTTTATTTTATTTATTGTTCTTGGTGATTGCATTTGCACGTATTTTGTTAACATGAGATAATTTACTGGCATAATCCGTTACACCAAAAACACTTTACGAACAAGTCATCTGACTGCTAGCATGACACTTAACCTATTAATCCAGGAAGGAAAAAATTTCCCTTCGAAGGAATTTCAACCAAACATGCAACCACGTCACAAATTACATATACCCTTGCAAACTTAACGTTATACAGATGATATGCAAAGATAGCTAATCATGAACATGTTAAATCATAGAGAAACAGTCCTATCTCTAATCCTCATCTGGACACAATACCGATGAAAATTACTGCAGAGAAAAAAATTACCCTCGGCCTCCTATCGCGTTGAGAACAGCAGTGATTTATGTAGCACACACTAGGCTAGCAGGCAAGCAAATTATGAAATCATAAAATTACAACTTTAATAAATAATACGAGAGTCAAGATTTGAAGTTTTACAGCAGTTTTTTCCTCTAAAATACAATGATAGACAGATCTCAATATGGATAGTTTGAAAAGCTTTTATTTTGTGGATAAAACTCAATCCTACTCCTGCAAACAGTACAAAGAAACCACCAATCGCTTGGCAGAGCAGACACTTCAAGAGAAGATATTTTGAGAACGCTGCAAGTGCCCCCAACCCTCAATAATCTGCAAACCACCACAAATTTTTTTCTCCAAAGTGACGCAACAAGCTATAAAAGAATAATGAAAGGTAGCAATCTCCCTTCTTATTCTGCCCTGGACTGGCCAGCACGGGAAGACAAGATTATGCCAACAATAAGACCATACAGAGCCAACGCTTCAGCAAAGATGAGGATAAGGATCATTCCAACAAAAAGTTTAGGCTGTTGAGCATTAGCTCTGCAGAAAAACAACAGAATGTCTCAGTATGAATTGTGAGTCAAGAGACTTCTCCCTGAGAAGCATTCTTGCAAGTACAGAAAAACTTACAACACAACGGAAATTTTGCTAATGTAAGTATTCTCATGGTCTTAAATTTACAGAAAAATTATTGGCCGTTATAAAGCTTGTGCCGCAAAACTAGAAAAACAAATTTCAGCAATTTACAAACCCATTGCATAATCAAGGTGAAAAATGTTATGCCCGGATCTATAAGTTAAAAAATTTAAGAAAGTGATCACTCCCTGGCTACAAAATTCACTCTCAAAGCACTGACACTTGTCAAAAATAAATATGGATTGATGCACATTAGCCATACCCACAGTTTGTTATTTGACAACAGAAATCACATCTTACATGTCTTCTATACAAAAAGGATGGCAAACACACCTGACACCAGCATCACCAACAATTCCAATGGCCATTCCAGCAGAAAGCCCAGCAAGGCCACAAGCAAGACCAGACGACAGATGTGCATACCCATCGAAAAGGTAATAAGACTTGGCCTTTGGGTTAATTCCAGTACTTATAATAACGGCAATAATCAACCCATAAATACCCAAAACACCAGCCATGACAACTGGAACAATCGATTTCATCACCAACTCAGGCCTCATCACTCCCATCGACGCCACACCAACTCCACTCTTAGCGGTTCCATATGCCGCTCCCATACCTGAACAAACACCAAACTCCAATATTTACACTAAAAAAACAAAACACATAAAAGTGTTTCGACAATTCTTCCTACAATAAAAAATTCCGCAGATCTAAGGAATTCATTAAAAATCTAATCTTGATTACGCAAAATGGCTCTATAATATACAGGTTATCAAATCAAAATTTAAATCAAACATGTTTATTCCCGGGTCACTAATAAATATTAATAATATTTTATTAACAAGTAAGCTAATTAAGGATCCATATCAACGTAAACAACACAGACCCGTTATTAATTGTGGATAAAAGACCTCTAACAATCAAATTAAAACGAATAATTGCAACGGATGTAACACTGAACTAAAATGACATCACTTGACACTTAAATAATTGCATCAAGATCGATCTGAAAATCATAAATCTATCAATTCTAACTTTTCTTTCATTTTCTCGGAAAGCAATCAGGAATATGAAAATCAGAGCAAATAGATAAAATAATTAAAAAGTCGAATAAGAGTAGAAGAAATGCAATTTGTTACATGAGAAGACGAGGGCAGCAGCAGCGCCAAGGAAGCCGAAGAAGGGAGCAGTTTCGTCGCCGCTGAAAGTAGACATGATTGATTATTGGATCTGAGACGGTGTCGTTTGAGATCTGAAATTTGCAGAGAGGCTTTTGGAGATTGGAATTTCTTCGATCTTTCTGTGTGTTTTTGTGAGAGAAGAAACGAGTGGAAGACAATCATTCAAGTATATAAAATGTCGCACCTGTTAAATCCATCGTAAACTTGAGCCCAATCTGATTTATTTGATTGGGCTTGCTAGTAAGGAAAAATTAATAGATTTGGGCTTGTTTTAATGTACCACCGTCCAATTTTTGTGAGCTACAAATGATTCCTGACATTGTGTGAAGTTTCGAAATAATAACAAATTGAAATACTCGCAACATAACAACTAATGCATCCGTTAATAATATAAGGGTTAATAGTTACTTCTATATTTATATAATAAGATAATTTTTTATTTTATTCTTACATCCTTAATTGAGTTAGTTTTAGTTTTGAATATATATTTAATTTTTAATCTTTTATTTTGACAAAAATTTCAAATAAAATAATCGGAATTAATAATATGATACACATCATTAGTTTTTTTTTTAAAAAAAATACTTTTTTAAAGTGGATAAAATCATCAAAATTATTTATGTGACCATTTACCAATCACGTAACTAATTTCTTTGGTTTAACTTGAAAATCTAACTAAAAAAATAATTAAAAAACTTAACATGTATTCAAAATAAAATTAATTTAATTAAAAATATAATAATAAATTAAAAAATTATTTTTTACTTAGAGATAGATTAAGCCATTAGTCACGATATAATATTTAAATTCTCATTTACATTTCATTAATAGAAAAAATGATATCAGGTGATCGACTTAACTATGTGACCCGTGAAAAATGATAGAACATCAGTCACATTATGGTGGTTTTGATTATAAAAATAGTTTTTAAACAATTTTTTTTATGTTCATCTCTTCTGACATTTTTTTATATAGAAAAGTGCTTTTGAGTAAAGGCAAATGGACGGCAGAGGAGAGAGGGATTAACCTTTTAAAGTGGCTATTTTTGAATGAAATTTTGTTTTGAAAAAAAAAAAACGAAAGCACATGTTGAAGTTGTAAACATAACTTATCTCTTAAGATGATTTGTTGGAATCGTCACCCTGGTTTATTCGATGAGAAAAAGGTTAAAAGAATTCAAAAAAAGAAAAAGAAAAAGAAAGATGTCATGAATGAAATTTACTTTTCAGTTTTATTTTATAAAAGTAATTTTAAATTTTAATAAGGTCTTCTTAATTGTAAAAAATAGAACCTTGAGCCATAAAACAAACTCAGTGCTCATAACGTAAGTCACCAAATCACATGAATAAAAAAGAATTTGACAGTAGTTTAAACTTAATCGGTTCATAGAGAGAATTGTTGTATCTGAATGATTTTTCCTAGTGACAATTATTATTTTAGATTTTCTCAAAATTTTATTTTAACAACAAATTATACTTGCCTTGCTAGGTTTTTTGTATAAGTTCTTTTTGGAAAATAGTTTTGTGCTTTGATATTTTAATCTTAATGAAATTCCATCTTCTAAGATTCTATCTTTCATTGCAAATAAAAAAAACATAGAGAGAGAAAGGCCAGGCATAAACTTGCAAGAAATTTTAGTATGTGAACTAGTTTATTGCCTACGCTATGTTACGGATCGGACATAATATGTTAAATAATTTTAAAAAATAATTATAAATTAATTATTCATGCTATGTTAATAGTCCATCTAAATATATCAATCAAAATTAAAAAAAAATAATTTTATAATTTTTTTAACCAAAATTTTATATCTAACTAATTTTTTTTCATTTTTTTAAATAATTTTTATACCCAAAAAATATGATTTATTCTTTTCTACTAATGAATTCTTAATTAAAAACTTGTGATAATTTAAAAATAAAATTTAATAAGAAATAAAAAAGTCATAATATATTTTTATAAGACTATGTGATTAAAATAAGATAGCAATTGACATAAAACTTGCAGAAAAAATAAACAAATGAAAAAAATAGCTTTGATTCTTATTTTATATTGATAAGAAGATTGGTTTTTGAAAATATGTACATTTTATTTTGATATATTCATTCATAAAATTATCAACGATATTAGAATAAAAAACTGTATTTAAATAATTAATTAATTCCACAAAAACATAATTTTAATTATTTAATTTGAAGGAAATTGATTTTGTTATATCTATAGATAAATAGTAAATGGTCTTTGTTTTGTATTGTTGTACAACTAATTTCTAGTAAAATTAATAAATTAATATTTTTATTTATTTATATAATAACTATACTGATCTGGGCTTAAAGTTTACAACATAAGATCAAAATATTAAAAAACATTGTTAATTTTTAAGTAATATATTGAATAAATTAGAAGTTAATAGACTAAAATAAAATTATTACAAAAATTAATTTTGATTAAGTAAACAAGCAACAAATAAAACACAAGAATTATTTTTTCCCTTAATTTGTTTTTAGGCCATACATAGTCAATCCTCATGGACATGCCTTGCATGCGAGTTATGATTCAAAAATTCTCAAAATCCGTCATAAGATTATAGTTTTTATATTTTTTTAAAAAAGAGAAAAATTATCATGTTCTATTATATTATTTATATTTATATTCCAAAATCTATACATAGATGAAAAAAAATTTGTTCGTAAATAAAATTTAATACAAAATCAAAAATCCATTGGATGAGAATTTTTATAAAAAACAAACGATTGAATGAATAAATTTTAAATAAAAATAGTAATGTAATTTGAAATATATCTTCAATTTAAATTATAACGAAATGTCATATATATTTCTTCCTCTCTAACTTGTTCGAAACCCCAAAACTAACGATCGATCATCCATGATTTCTCCCAATAATCTATAATGATAAAATAAAAATAAATTGGTGAAAAAAAGAAAGCAAGACTTCAGAAAAAGAAAACAAGAATTTGAGACAATAAACAACAATTCCTAGCATTAAAAAAAAAAAAAAACTAGAGTAGCAATAAATTCATCGGTATTTAACCAAATAATAACCCAAAATGACAATTTGCTTCATCTCTATCTTTTTTTTGTCCTTCTTTCCTTAACCAATTTATTAGGAAAAAAAAATCTATAAATTTTAAAAGAAAAAAAGAATGAAACTCAACCAATCTAATTTGTTTAGCAAAGGAGTGAAAGAAAATTGGAGGGTATTAAAAGCATTAACTATATCTCTACTCCAATTCACGACATTTGTCCATCATAGAGTTTAGTCTAGCGAGTTTAATGGCGGTAATTACCTTTAAACTATTGGGTTATGTCAATTCAATTTCTTAGAAAACATAATCATTCGATTTATAATTTTTTTAATCAAAATTTTATATCTAACTAATTCTTTCTCATGTTTTTTTTTAATAAAATATGTACCCAAGAAAACATGATTTATTCTTTCTATTTTTTATCCATGAATTCTTAATTAAAAACTCATAATAATCTACAAAGAAAATTTAATACGAAATAAAAAAGTCATAGTATTTTTTTATGAGATTGTGTTGTTAAAGAAAAGTAACAATTGATGTAAAAACTTGCATAAAAATAAACAAATGAAAAAAATTAGTTTTGATTCTTATTTAGCATTGATGAGAAGATTGGTTTTGAAAGTACTGTATATTTGATTTTAAGATATTCATTCGTAGAATTATCAACAAATATTAGAATAAAAAATTATATTTGAATAATTAACCGATTCCACAAAAACATGATTTTAATTATTTAATTTGAAAGAAATTGATTCCATAATATCCATAAATAAATAAATAGTAAAGGGTATGCATTTTGTCTTCGTTGTATAATTAATTTCTAATAAAATTAACAATTTAATATATTTTTTACTTACATAATAACTATACTTGATCGAGTTTAGAGTTTTCGGTATAAAATAAAAAAAATATTAAAAAATAGTTAATTTATAAGTAATATGATGAATAAATACGAAGTTGATAGACTAAAATAAAAATTATTACAAAAATTGAAATTGATAAATTTTAATTATGTAAAGAAGCGACAAATAAAACACATGAATTTTCTATTTTTTTCCCTTCTTAAATATTTTTTTAATTAGGCCATACATGGTCAATCCTGGTGCATATGCCTCACATGCACAACTATGATTCAAAAATTCTCAAAATCCATCATGTAGTTATATTTTTTAAAAAATAGAAAAATGATTGTGTTCTAGAATTTTATTTCAGAATCTACACATAGATTAAAAAAATCATATTTTTTTGTAAATAAAATTTAATAAAAAATTATAAAATTAATTGGATGAGGATTTCTATAAAAAATGATAGATTGAAGGAATAAGTTTTAAATAATAAAAGTAATATAATATGAAATATATATTCATTTAAAATTATAATAACATATTATATATATTTCTTCTTTTCTAAGTTGTTGAGAAACCTTAAATATAACGATTGATCAGCCATAATTTCTCCCAGTAACCTATAATTATAAGATTAAAATAAATTGATGAGAAAAAGAAAAGTTGCAAAAAAAAAAAAAAAGAAGCAAGAATTTAGAAAAAGAAAGAAAGAATTTGAGACAATAATCAGTAATTCCTAGCAAAAAAAAAAAAAAAAAAAAAACTAGAGCAACAATAAATTCATCTATATTTAACCAAACAATAACCCAAAATGTCAATTTGCTTTATTTCTATATAATTTTTGTCTTTCGTTCCTTAACCAATTTATTAATTAAAAAAATCTGTAAAATTTAGAAGAAAATAATGGAACCCATTCAATCTAGTTTGTCTACCAAAAGAACGAAAGGAAACCGAAGGGTATTAAAAATGTTAACTGTTTTTCTACTCTAATTCCATACATTTGTCCATCAAAGCTTAGTATAGTAGTTTAATGGTAAAAATTACCTTCAAATCATTGGATGGTTGCAATTCATGGCCTATGGTATAAATTTAGGCTATATGGACAAAAAAATATTATTTTTGGATAAATTTCATCCTTTTATGTTATCGCTAACCGTTCCATTTTTTTTTGTTTAGAATTAGAATTAAATTTTTTTTTAATAATAGTTAGTTTTAAGGAAGTTTAGAAGATTTTGTTGTTTACAAATCTGAATTTATTGTTGGATAATTAATGATGTGTAATAGTTCCATCTAGTTAAAAAAAAGTTTTTTTTTTAAGAATTTAAATTAATTTTGAAAAAACTATTTAACAATAACTGGCTTAAGGTAGCTTAGATGATTTTTTTGTTTATGAATCTTATTTTTGTTGTTAGATAATTAACAATGTACAATGGATCTATTTAGTTTTAAAAAAATCGAATCATTATTATTTTTTGAAATTAATTTTAATTTTAAAATAAATTTGAAATGATTAAAACTACGTCGTTTTATCACTTAAACCTAACTATTATTAAAAAAAATAGTCCTACAATAGGGTGGAAGAAACTTGTCCAATACCATATATAAAATTATTATTTCTCTATTTTTCGTAACCTATTTACCACTTCTTTATTTTTTATTTGGTTAACTAAAATTTGACCAAGTTTACCTAATGTTATTAAAATGAATTATTACATGTAGGGGCTTAATTGTAAAATAATTTTTAATTCAAGAACTAAATTGCATATAACAAAACATTAGAAGACCAAAAAATTTTAATTGGAATAAAAAGGTCATGAAATATAAACAAGGACTAGAATTACTTATTGAAAATTTTTTATAGACCAAAATAAATTCACCCTTGTCTTTTTGTGTGCCCAACATATATTTGTCTAGTTTTATCCATTGTTCGGTCCAGTTCAATCCAATTCCACTTGTCTAGTAGCATGCCAAACACATCTTAATAGAACGAGAGAACTTGATTGACAGACCAATGCTATTTAGGTGGTAAAATAAAAAACGTTTTACTTGGAGAGTTAACTTAAAACATTTTTAATATTTAGAGGACTGATTTGTAGTTAGCTCGAGCGTTAAAAAATCTTGCCGTACCTAGAAAAAAACATCAACAGAAGCCGAATAAGAGCCTACAAAAGGCCCATTGCTGTCCTCTATTATACTGCTACTATTATTATTACTACCACAAGAGCAAGGAGCATCAGTCGGACTGAGTTTTGTAGCGGAGAAAAATGGCAATAGCGCTGAACAATGGATTCAAGATGCCAATAGTTGGTTTAGGTGTATGGCGGATGGAAGGGAAAGAAATCAGAGACCTCATTGTTAATTCTATCAAGCTTGGTTATCGTCACTTTGATTGTGCCGGTACCTCTCTCCCTCTCGCTCTTTCTTGTTTTTGGCCACTTTTTTCTGGGTTTGTGTTTAATCATCATATTCTTTGAAAGTATAGTAGCATCTCTGGGTTCTTGATTGATAAAATCTACATGCGTTTTTGCTTGTTATCAGTAAAGTTCTTGTCTTTGTGGCACATGCGGGACCTTTCTTGATTTTATTGCTTCTTCTTAAGATAATTAGCTTTTAAGATAATCGCTTATTTGGTAAACTGTGTTTGAGAAGTTGATGTTTTGTGGTTGCAGCTGATTACAAGAATGAAGCAGAAGTAGGAGAGGCATTGGCTGAAGCTTTTAAAGGAGGGCTTGTTAAGAGGGAGGATCTTTTTATTACTACCAAGGTTTAGTTTAATCACAGATCTTTAACAGGCGGGGCACACATCTGATTTCGTTTTTGGTTTATTATTAAGTGATTATGTACAATGTTACTTTTTTTTCCTTGCTTTCTACCTGGTTTGCAGCTATGGAATTCAGACCATGGACATGTTGTTGAGGCCTGCAAGGATAGTTTAAAAAAGCTTCAGCTTGATTATCTCGATCTTTACCTTGTCCACTTTCCCGTAGCCACAAAGCATACTGGTGCTTCTACTCACTTTTTTTTTTTGCTTTGTTATTATAAATGTTTTTGTGTGTCAGTCTCTGCCTTTTGGTTGGATGTCCAATTCCTATTGTCAGTGTAGTTTGATAATCTGATTAGCTGGAGGTTCTTCTTACGAAAATAGGAGATGACTTGCAGAGTCAAGAGTTACAATAAAACATTATCTATTTCATTGCTTGGATGGTGCACATATTGAACATGAATTTGTAAGGAAATTTTGACTTGAACAATTTTTTGGGAAACATGGACAAAATCTTACCCAGGATTTTTAAACTTGTAGTTCTAGTTATCATAGGACTTGTTTTGTTGGCTCCACTGCGTGATATATGGGGGCAAAACCACAACAGATAGAAGATAGGACATATAAAGCGGGATCAATTAGTGGGATTAGATACATGGAAATTGGGCGGAGAAGAAAGTATTTGTGTTTCCCATTTAGTTTCTCTTCTTGTACGCCTGATTTACAACTTTCCACTGCAGTCAGTGAGATTATCACTAGGAAGTAAATCTTCTGTTTAGTTTACTAGACGTTCGACATATCGAACCAGAATAATAATCTTGTGTTTTTAAACTTTTTGGCGTGTTTGCATGCATACAGGAGTGGGTGCGACTGACAGTGCATTGGGTGAGGATGGGGTGCTGGATATAGACACAACCATATCCTTGGAAACCACCTGGCATGCTATGGAAGATCTGGTTTCCATGGGTTTAGTTCGCAGCATTGGAATCAGGTGAGTTGGCAATCTAAAGGGCAAATCTTATGGATACCCATAACCTGGAACCTTATTTTGAATATAACCATTCTTGTTGTAGCATCTGTTTGAATCGCACTAATTAAAACTTAATTATGGAGTGGTAAATAGTAAAGAACTTGCATAAGTATCTTACTCTTTCACATTGTCATTGGCACGGACAAGTTTAAAAGTGGAATTTGTTCATATGGCTACTTTGGAATTTTGGTCTGATAGAAAGTTTATCTGCAGCAACTATGACATCTTTCTAACTAGAGATTGCTTAGCCTACTCGAAAGTGAAGCCTGCTGTGAACCAAATTGAAACTCACCCATACTTCCAGCGCGATTCTCTTGTGAAATTCTGTCAGAAGCATGGCATCTGTGTGACTGCTCATACTCCTCTTGGAGGTGGTGTGGCCAATACTGAATGGTTTGACACTGTATCATGTTTGGACGATCCTGTTCTGAAGGTATGCTATTTCTTTTTCAGGTGGATTATCTGTCAGCCGATTATCAATGCCTGAGAGGAAATTGTTTTATGTGGTGCTTTTTATCAGCAATATTATCATCTCATTTTCTTTTCTTTGGCCAGGGTCTGGCTGAAAAATATAAGAAAACTGTGGCCCAGATTGTTCTCCGGTGGGGCATCCAACGAAACACTGCTGTCATCCCGAAGTCAGCAAAGATCGAGAGACTGAAGGAAAATTTTGAAGTTTTCGACTTCGAGTTAAGCAAAGAGGATATGGACCTGGTGAAAGGGCTGGACAGGAACTACAGGACCAACCAACCTGCCAAGTTTTGGGGGGTGAATTTGTACGCTTAATCATGTCCATGACTATCCTTTTGAAAATGCACTCGTGCCTCTGGCTAAGAATAAGTGCATTCTGGATGCTTTGCTTATTGTACCTGGTTTTCTGAAACTGTGAAATTGATTGACATCATGGTCAAGGATTGGTCGGTAACGTTTACTTCACTTTGTTTCGGTGGCCAGGGCCTCTACCTTTACTGCCTGCTTGATTGACTTCATGAGTAGTCCTAACTTTTATCAAATTATAGTCAAGCACCAATTTGAATGCACAAATCAGGAGATCACATTGCACAAATTGTTATAGTCTTTGCACTATCCAATTGGATGAGATGTCCGCAGCTTACAGAACAACATAATCAAATAGAATTCAATCGCCTCTGTAAGGACATCTGGACATCTCATAAGCATTCACCAAACTAATCTTCTTTCTCTAAGAAAATTTTCCTACCACGCGTCAAGACTTTGCAGTAGCCATCATCTTAAACGAGTGATGGCAACTGCATGAAACGGTGAAAAAAAACGAGGTCTTTGGAGTTTAGCATATAAATGGAATAATTGCAACACGGTCGCTTGGATAGTTGTCAAATTTCTGAAGGTACCACCGATGTGTTTCTGCAGCTGCAAATACCAGATTCGCCACCTGCGTTCAACACAAAATTCAGTTCTCATAGAATAACACAAGGAAAGCCGCAAACAGGGAGGGAAAAAGGCATATTGAGAATCCAAAGAAAAATATACCACAAATCCAAAAAGTAACCAAATGGTGAGGTCTGCCCCTCCACTAGCAAAAACCATGCCAGCATATATAACCTGTATCATTTGCATAACACATGAAGTGTGAGCCCTCTGCACGTCAATCTCACTCCACTTCTATGCGCAATTACAAATGAGCTCGAGACAGAGAGAGGCAGGAACTTACAATCTCTGCCAAATAGTGTGGGGATGAAACAATCTCAAACCAATCACCACGGGGGATTACATATTCATCAATCTTTCCCACATGTTCCCTTAATGAGCCCTAATCAACCAACAAGATAGTGAGGGTGAGAATTTTAGTCTCTAAATTTTGCAACTTGGCCTCCCTTTTCCACATGAATGAAATCAATAAAGATAGGTGGACTCTGATGGGTGCCTGGTAATGATGTTTGAAACAAGCTTAATTGGTATACAGGATTATAGGAAACAAAGAAAAGTGTTCAGAACCAGCATGCGCGCACAATGTTTTCCATTTTCCATTAACTTATTCTCATGGCTAGCTGTAAAGCTAAATAGTCTCAAGGCCAGACAAAAACAGAGCAGCAAGTGAAATCAGTTCCATAACACATCAATCAAAATAAGTTGAACATTCAAGATGCAAATGTTTCATCATGCAACCAACGATGTTGGCTATGACAATACCAATAACCAAAGCTCCTTGGCCATGTGGTTTGAGTTGTAACTCGAACAACTCAACCAGGGTTCAAGCTTTGGTATCAACAAAATAACAACAACACAACACCAATAACTGAATTGCATATCCCATACTAGCATCAGAAGAGAAGTGATTTCCCGCCCGGAAACAAATAGTAGTTTGACTTCATTTCACTGAAAGTCATCTAATTTCCACAAACTTCCTTTTGCTAGCTTCACATTGCCACCACCAACCTACCAGTATTATGCTTTTATAGTAACAAGTAGTTATACTTTTTAGTGGTTTTAAGGTAATCTTTTCCTGAATATCCGAATATAATAATTCCAACTTTCCCATCCCCCACGAGGAGAAGTGTCGAGTCCAGTGTCCACTATATTTATCTTCAGTTTTCATTAACTTATAGCTATTCAGTTTTCATCAACTACCAGTTTAGAACCTCACCTTGGTTATAACATAGCTACATGCATAACATTTTTGACAAATTCAATCAGAAAGTAAACATTTGATTTGTTTTCCTTTTCTTTTTGAAGAAGAATCAATATTTCCATCTGACAAGTAACTGATCATGAAACAGTGATACTCACAAGAATTGCATGGCAACGATGCTGATGAATCCAACCCCAAAGAACTATAGCTGCGCCAATCCACTGGCACCATCCAAGCTTTGAAAAAGGATTAACAAAGTTCCACCAATGAAATTCAATGGCTTGCATTGAGCTTCTACCTTTAACAAGGAACTCAGTCACTTCATTTATGCCAAATTTGAATACCTCAGGTGCACAAGTACAGCAGAGCGTCAGGGGCGCCACTGTGTAGAAGCTAAGCTCAAAAGGATATATAAATCAGTACAACATATTAGAACATGTTCCCATGTATAACAAATTCATGGTAAACAAAAAGTAAGAAATAGATTATAACTACAAGTGCTTTGATAAAAAACATGGATTACGTTGTGATTTAAATGTTAGCAAGGCTGCTGGGCAATGTGGTAGAAAGCATATTAACTAGCAATCAGAACTTCCATAAAGACATAAATAATACATGTGAATTAATTATATAGCTAGGCGAAACCAATTATAAAATATTCAAGGAAAAAAATGTTTCCAAGAGCAATTTGACATGATATGTGCGCATGTTAACATGGGGAGAAAGGCTGCAGCAAAAGAACTGGATCAGAAGGCTTCAAGTCTTCAAGATACTCACAATAGGCCAGTAAGGTAGCCAAAAATGTGCATCCGAGCAGAGGCGCTATAACGAAATACATATACTGTCTCGAAAAGACGCCTCAAGACTTGAACTTCCATTAACAAAAGCAGAAACACAGAAAGCCAAATCCTGTATTTATTCTCTGAACTAATCAACCGTGATCGATGAAATGAGAAGATGTTTGATCGTCCTGCCAAGTAGCTGCCTAAATCAGAGTAGAAAAACGGCTCAGAAACTATTGGTGCCATTCTACATGCATACATCCATGTTGCAAGAAGCAAGAGAGTTGTCCACGCCACAGCCACCACATAGAAATGAGAAAAGAATCTTTGAGGAACAGTGAATTTCTACAATCCAAAACACAGTAAATTAGAAAGTTTGATGAATCAATGATCCAACCAGTAATTCCAAACCTCTAGAATCTACAAGCTATCATTAAATTCAAATTAATCTGGGTATCCGTAGTATTTTTCAGTGCATCAGCATGGGCAAACATGCAAAGCAGACTATATAAACAATATTCTATTTTTAATTACCAGTAAAATGTAAGAAAATAATCCAACCCAACCCAACAATCTATCTCCCAGAGCTTAAACGAGTCCTAGAGTTCCAAGAAAACATAAAAATTTCAGAACTTACATAATGAGCTGATGATTGCATGATCTTTCCTCTCCTTCCAAACCCCAAAACAACTCCATGGAATGAACCCAGCCAAGAACATGGCAGCGAAGCTATAAGTATAGGCAGTGTCCCTGCAATCCAAGCAGCTCTCAACAGCTCCACAAGCCCAAGTTCCATTTTTTAACAGAAACCCAGATAAAGAACGGAGCTTTGCAAGTTATGAAACATTAATCTAATCAAAAGAGAACATCGGTAGTTAAATTGGGCATTGAAGGAATCACACTGTTCAAGAGAAATTGAAGCGGGACTGACACGGCATTAATAGCACTGGACGATGCCGTTTTCACGAGGACGGTCCACGGTCCACGGTCATTCAATATTTGTTAGTTTTAGCAGAAGATTCTTTTCGAAATCGTTTAAGCAGTAATTTCAAGCATCTTTTCATCTAATATATAAGTTCAGATTTTTTTATAAAATGTATATTTTTGAAAAGAATATTCAATAAAATTGACATTATTTGCTATTTAAAGTTTTCAGATTTGACGGTATTTTGCTAGGTCTATCTTTTTATCTAAAATCTGGCAGAAACCTTTCATTATAGGCAAACAAAGAAGAATTTGTCCTGAAAACAATTTTTAAAGTATATTATGAAACTCGAAAGTAAATTTTTTCATGAATATTTCTCAAAGCTAAAACCTTTATTTTGACTCCGTTTACCTTTTTGTCAAAATTTTAATGCCAAAATCAAGTAAAAAAGTTTTAATTCATTATTCAATAATAATTTGAGTTAATGGCTCAATATATTTTCTTGTATAATAAAGAAACTTTTTAATATGTTTTTATATTTCAAATTGAATCACTTTTATTATTTTAAATATACATTTAAGTGTGTAGTTCATCATTCAGACAATACTTTCAAACCAAACTATCATAATCAATCATGCGATTTGTATATAAAAATCTTTATTTAGTTAGCTTATAAAGGTATTTTAAAAATAATAATATGTAAATCACGTAAATAGTTTTAATAATTTGGTATGAATTTTTTTAAATAGATTGAAAACTTAATTTATATTTAATGATAAAATTCATTCAATAAAAAAATTACCTTATTATTATGTAAAAATAAACCAAACCATTAATCCTTGTTTATTAACAAGCAAAGTTTTTTTTGTGTTTTTAAAATACCTTTATAAGCTAATTAAATATCTCCAGCAAAGTTTTGTTAACATTTTGAAGAGTTGAAGATTACCCATGGATGGTGATTTAGAATTATGTTAAACTAGTTTTTTTTTATCCGCACTACGTTATGGGTCGGATAAAACATATAAAATTATTTTTATTTTATTTTTTAAGTTTGATATTCCGTGTTATATTATGCATATATCAAAATATATCAAATCAAAACTTGGATAAAAATTCATTTAATTTTTTAATCAAAATTTTGTATTTGACTAATTATTATCTATATTTTCATAATTTTTTCATTAAAAAATATTATTTATTTATTTCTATATACATTTTTAGCTAAAAATTTATTTTGTAAATTATTTTTTCTAAACATCTTTTTACCTTAAAATTCTCAATAAAAAAAAAATCAGAGAAAAAATGTGAGGACCAAAGTAACCAAAACGAAACAAAAAAGAGAGACTAAAATAAAATAAAAATTCTTGTAGATCAAAAAAATAATATTTAAAAAAAGAAAGAACCACAAAAACTTTCATAATAAATATTTTTTAAAAATTTAAAAATTACAGAAAAGCCAATGTATAATGAAAAGAACAATACATGTTAATCTATGAAAATAATGCATATGAATCTGAATAAATAATATTTGAAATATTGCTAATAAATAGTAACGGTTTAGTTGCTGTTGCTGTTTTTTTTTTTTTTTTCAATTTTTAATTTGAAACCAAGAATCCATCCTATAATGATGACATTACCAAAAGAAGGTCACCCATATTTTTAGATTTTAAAGTTTATGAGAATTTTTTGAAAAACATGGGTGATATACATGGATTACATTTTACGTTATAATTATTAATTATCAGATAAGATACAACAATACACAATTGCAACTTGCAAGTAAGTTGCCATCAGCTAAAAAAATAAAATTGGTACAAAAATCGGTCTTCACTAGTAATTCCATCCATGTTAAAAAAAGAAGAAGGTAATATCGTCAAACCTCAATGGCGTTTTATCCATTGCACTGTACCAAAACGACACAGAGCAAATAATGCGGTGAGAATCTGAGAGAAACCCCCAGCTACTAGTCGTTTTTCTAAAATCCACGCATTAACCCAATAGGCCACTTCTCTCTCTCCCTCCCTCTCTCTCTCTCTCTATCTAGGAAAAAAAAAACCGAAGCTTTCTCTCTTCAAATCCATGTCACTTATTCAATGACATAAATCAGTAAGTTCATAATTTATTTCTTTGATCTATGTATCCTCTCAGCGTTCTCATGCATTTCTTGCGGTTTCTTGTGCTATATGTTCCTGATTTTGACTTTCATTTCCGGCTCAAAACCCTATTTTTATAGTAAAATTTATTAAAATTTGAACTTGTTTATTGAAAAGTTTCTTACTTTACTTAAATTAAGTGGTTTTTATACTGATATTAATAATGGGTTGTTATTAGATTTTGAGTTATTTTTCAGTTGCTTAGATATCGAGGTTTGTTTACTTGAATCGGGTATATTTGAAGCTTGGTGTTTTTTCCCTATTCAATGGATTTTTTGAAATAAATTGTTAGTGCAACTTAAGTGTAAAGATTAAAGTTTCCTTAAAGTTTCCGGTGAAGGAAGTGTTATGGTTGAGAAAATTATAATAAAATCAGTGCGTGTTACATGTGTATTATGTTTATGAGCACAAAGACAGCCCATGTGTATCACTTATGGTGTTTTTATAGAGTGTTGACAACTTGATTTTAGTTTTGGATGTTTCGATGTTTAGTTTATTAAGTCACTGCTTGCAATAGTCCAACTGTTATTTATGAGTGCACGATCTTTGAAATAAAAAAGGTATTTGCTCATTTGTTGGTGGATCTTGCGGAAAGTACCTTGACAATCCCGGAACTTTTATTCCTGCACTGCATTGAGCTATAGTTCTGTGTTGCCTCTTGGTAGTTTTTTGATTTTTGAAATGCTTGAGAATCTAGGTGGGACTGGAATGATGGTGGCACTTAACTGTGATACCTGATTACATGTTTGTTTGTGCGTGTATAGCTAATGTTTAGTTTATTGGTTTTTAACTTCTTTAAAGCTGGGTGCTTTCCCAGTGAATTGTTAGGTTTGTTTCTTTTTGTTGAAGCCTTCTTTGATTTTACTTTTCAGTATCTTGTTCTTCTATTTTAGCGTATTTCTTTCTTCTCACTGTAAATTGTAAACTGCTTGAAATTTGACTTTTGGTTTTTCTGTTTTCAAAATAGAGAGACATGTCCTCTTTCTGGAAAATTAGTAGATGACCAAACTGAAAATTCAACATTGAAGAGTAGGTTCAAACTGATTCCTGCTTAACTGATAGTAAAGTGGGTACAAGATGGATGATGGCGGGCAACATCAAAATGGAAGGTATAAGATGGACTATTACAAGGCAGCTCACCCTCACCCTCCCGTAAGAAGACATTCGCCTCAGATACTTGTAGATTTTCGTCTTTGTTTTATATGAAATTTCAGATTAAATGTATGCTTAAGATATAATGTAATTTGCAGTGGAATATGATGCCTCAACATCAAGTGAAGGAGCAAACGAATGCCTTGGCAATGAATAAGAAGATAATGACCATACTCATTGAGAGGGATGATGCCATTCGAGAACGGAATTTGGCACTAGCTGAAAAGAAGGAAGCCTTGGCTGCACGAGATGAAGCAATCCAGCAGCGAGAGAAGGCCCTCGTTGAACGGGATAAAGCCTTGATGGATCGAGACAATGCTCTAGCAGCAATTCAATACCGGGAAAATGCAATGAGCTATCCTTTGAGTGGAAGTCAACGAGGACCAAAGCGCATTCCCCATCCACTATACCATTCAAATGACATGTCAGAAGCTCTTGACACAGGGGAAATGCACGTCATTGATGCCTTGCCTATATCATCTGTTACTGCTGAAACTGGGAAGTCACGCCAGACAAAGCGATCGAAGGAAAATAAGGCAGTTGGGTTGAAGGCAGCCAAGTCGCCAAGGAAGGGGAATAGAGTGGGTGAGGATCTGAATAAGCAAGGTGCTTCTGACGGGAAGAAGATTAAGGTTGAGTGGGATAGTCAGGATGTGGGCTTAAACCTTATCAATTTTGATGAAACCACCATGCCAGCGCCTGTTTGTTCATGCACTGGACTTCCCCGGCAATGCTACAAATGGGGTAGTGGTGGGTGGCAGTCAGCCTGTTGCACAACCACCATGTCATCATATCCGCTACCACAGATGCCAAATAAACGACATGCCCGAGTTGGTGGCCGGAAGATGAGTGGTAATGTATTCAAAAGATTGCTTAGTCGGCTGGCAGCAGAGGGTCATGACCTTTCGATCCCTCTTGACCTCAAGGATTACTGGGCCAGACATGGGACCAATCGCTATATCACCATTAAGTAGATGTTTTTCTTCTGTAATCTCTATTTGATCTTAAATTATCTTATGTTCTTCCTTGTATCATGAACTGCCTTGTAACGAAACCTGTACCTTCTTGATAGAAAGGTTGTTTCCTCGTTTCACAGTAGGCTCTTGTAATCGCTCGTAAGGATTTGTAAAGGGGATTTTGTAAAGTGCTGGCCCTTTTAGAGGACTACATCTAGATGGCCATTTGCATTGCTATCATTCAAGGGCAATCTTCGTGTGCCGCTGCAGCATTACTTGAAGACAACTTTGCCTTCTTATTTCAAGGGTTTCCTTCTCCTTCTCTCTTTTTTTCTTTTTTATTTTTATGGTCATTGTTGTTTTCTCCCGAAGTAATAAGGTTGAAGGAAAAGTTCTTTCTTCAGAAGTGTTGAGTTGCTGATATTTTGTGGCAGTAGACTAATAATTGAAGTGGTTTTGAGCCGATGCCATAGGAGATCAGGGAAAAATGCTTCCGTAATTTGATTATTTATTCATGAAACGGTGTTTCTGTGTGGCTTGAGCAATTGCTGACAGTGAAACTTGAAATTACAAGTAGAGTTTCAAGGAATAAAAAAAAGTGAAAGAACAGTGTTGAAGTGTTGAAGCAATGCAAACTTCTGTTTAACTCTATTATTTATTTATTTTTCTTTTTTGTTAAATAGCATGATGTGTCATTTGGTGTAAAAGAATGATTAAACCAAGCAATTTTCTTCGTTGCAAAATTTCTAATGGGTCTTCTGTGTTTGGCCCAAATTCTGGCCTAGATCACAAAGACTCTTACACATTTATTTTTTGGGTCTGTCGATCTTCTTGTAATCGGATACCTCTCACACTTCTATACCTCAATCCCACAAACGTATTCGAATGCATGCATGATCATATTTTGATGACCTTAGCTCAACCAATTCTTCAATTTTGATGAAAATACAACTTCATGTAGAAACTAATTTGAGACGCATTTTTTGGGATAAATATATTACACTACTTATGGTAATCGTACTTGTTAGCAATTGTTTCGCTATACTTTTATACATGGCTAAAATAAAACCAATCAAACCAGCACCGAAGAGTATTCAGAATACAGAGAGTGCATCATACGATAGGGAATAAGTGTTCCTTGGCAGGCTTTGATAATAAAAACGTTTTCATGGCTTGTTTCAGACTCAATAGCTTAGAAGTCAAGCTAGACAAGCTCCATCAATCGTGGAGAGTTTTGGCATTATCGTACATCTATATTTCACACACAGAACTTGGCATCGTAGCATATTCTTACTTTTTGCTTAGTTTCGTTGATATTGCGTTAGCATATTCTCTGAAAAGAAATCTCTATCAACTTCAAGCAAAGTATTATATTAATTACCACAAATTTACAACAAGAGATTGACGAAGGACGTTAAGAAAATCATAAACTGTCCAATCAAACAATTCCCCAAAATTACATTTATACATATAGTAAGCAAAATCTTGCATTTTTATATCATAGAAAATCAACTAGGGAGTTCCCTTTAATTCCTTGTTTGAAACAGTCAAAGAGTTGATTTTGATATAACTTAGAAATACAAAGAGCAGTGAGAGCTTCGAAATCTCCATCCTGTTCAAAATGGGAGGGAGAAGATCAAACTTGCCATAAGAGACAGTCATCTAATGTCGTTAAAGTCAAGACAAGCACAAAAAGTTTGCTCCTCAAGTTCTGTTGTTCATACTCCTACTGACACCGACACTGTTCAACTACGACGATTGTACCACTTAATCTATTTCATGATCAGTGCTTCGCTGCCTTGATTGACGATGGAGATCAAGATTTCAGGTGTGAAAATACCCAAGAAGTCATGAACTTTGACACGTGAATTCGAGTTTTAAGGGAAGTGGAAGTATTTGATCCCGGGATCTTATAGGAAGTTTAATATATTAATTGTTACATTCAATAATAATTAAAAACAACAACGACAAAGTCCATTGACACGTCCACATAGATGTTGCTTTTAAAAAAGATGTGAATTTTTTGGAAGTCTCGCCAAATTTTTTCGTAAAATAGTGTTAACGAGTCACGAGTAACGTATTCATTGTCATTATGTTTTTCGGCGTCTAATAATTGTTAAATTATAATTCTTACCTGAAAGTTTAAACTATCGACTATTTACAAAATTTTGGTACTTATTAGTGTATTTAGAGATGATATGTAATTTGAGTTTTTTCTGTGTTTTTTTTATTAAACTGACTTTATAATAGCAATACATTTAATTTAATATCCGAGTTAGATAGATATAGAAAGAATTACGGTTAACGAGTTTTATCTATTTATAAAATTTTTTGAAAGCCTTAAAAAATTTGTATCAATCACATCTATAAAAAGCTAATCAATTAGCGGATTGACTTTTTTTACATGCTTACTCTTTTTTAAGCGAAATTTAGTAATTTAAACATATCTTATCGAGATGTATTAATATCATCTTTTAGAGAATATCCGTGTTGTAGTCAATCTAGGACTATGTAACGAGATAATCTATTGTTTAGAGCTTTACTTCTCTCGTGTATCCAAAAAATAAAAATAAGTTGTCGGAACTAAGTGTTGAGATTTGAACTCCTAAGAGTTTAATTATTGAATTCTAATACTATATAAAAAAAGTATATTAACCTAATACTTTAAGTTATTAAAAAAAAATTCAAAATATGATTTTTTTTTTTACAATAATATCATTGCTTTGACAATATTATTGAAATTTGATTACACCGATAAAATTACCATTGCTTGTTTCAACAAAATCAAAAAAACAATTTTGTTCCTTTTATTGTTGAGATAGTAGCGGTAATCTTTAGATACAGTACTGACTATTTAAGTATAAGAGTGCAAAATAAAAAAAATGTGTTAAACTCCTTCGAATTTTCGATAACAAGTTTTCGATTCAACTTTCGACTCATTAATGTCTAATCCGAAGTTATATCTTTATTTAATTAGTTCTCTCTCTCTCTTTTTTTTTTTTTTTTTTTTTTTTTTTTTTTCATACTCGTTAATTAGTGGACGGTCTTTGAAAAATTGTATGTATCATATCCATATGAAAACAAAATAGTTTGATTAATTATAGCAACAAGCTTCAGTATTATTTTGGACTTTGGAGGTATTTCTTTTTTCTTTTAATGGATATATAATTGTTTTAGTTCATATGGATTGGATTTGCAGAGTAACAATTAGATTCAAATTTACTTGGATTCAAGGTTTGATGGGTTTTTTCTTTTCTTTTCTTTTTTTCTTTTTCTTTTTTAGCTTTTCGAGCGGGGAAAAAAGCCTTCTATATCCCTTGGTTTTTGCTTGGGGTTTATATGAATTTCACATTAAAAGGTCAAAAACTGGAAAGCTTTATTTCGTGAGTTTTTTAGCAGTAGTGGTGACTTTTTACATTATTTATCATGTAAATTTAAATATATTTAATACGAACATATTTTTGTATACTTATTTAACGAGATATTTTTACATGTTTTTAATGGTTTTAAAAAACATAATCATTAAAGAAACTCAAACTTTCATTTCCATGACTTTTCTCCATGTTGACAAAAAATAACATAGATATATTTGATAATTTAATGCAATATATAAAATAACATGAAATTTTGAATTAATTATATAGATTAAAGATATATTTTTATTATAATCATAATTATTCATATTATAAATATAAAAATTATTTTTGATATTTGTAATTGATTGAAAAAATTAATCAAAATTCACAATAATAACATTAAATAAACACATTATAGAATCATATAAATATCGTATGGTATAATTATTATCTTTCTATTTAATTATTGCATCGTTCGTTTTTCAGCAGCTCTCCGATGAAAAATCCAAAAGTCAGCTTTTTAAATAAGATTTTTTTAGCTTTATCTCCCTAATATTTGGAACAATTGTGCCAAGAATTGCTTTAACCAACACTTGGTATTTAAACACTACCGTAGCCATCGTCATAGCTAAAAGAAATTACAGCTACAGTCACAGCTCAATTTCTAGCCTAAGTACCGAACCTTAAAGTCTCATTTCTTAATAAGAAAATATCACTTGGACGGTAAAACGACATCGCTATAAAATGACAAAAATAGATCCCCCTTTCATATTTATTAGGTGATGTCCATCTTTTAGTGGGTCCAACTGGAAGAAAATTAAATGGGCCCAGTCTGCTTTTTCTGTAGATGATTGACAAGTGCTTCAATTAGAGTGGATAAGCTCACCCTTTTTCTTCGAAGCACTAAAATATGACACGTGTTCGGCGAATCACTGCTGCTCTCTCCAACACGTGTTCCATTGGGCCCACTAGTTCAGGTCAAAATGAGAACGTCATCGATGGTCTTGCAACAACCACGTGGACATCATCGCTCATAATTCGGGCCCGGGAACCACGACACATGAAACGAGGTCCGAGGGTATGGTATGTGTTCAAACGATTGCTTACTGTTCATGTTTTGAAAATAAAGTTGAATAAACTATTCCAATCTTTTTTAATTATATTTTTCCTTCACATAATGTATATTTTTTAATTTTATTCCCGAAATGCATCGAAACTAAATTTTTTTTTTATAAAACATAAATAAGTTATCCATGTCCGAATTAATGTGACCCACAATATTATTCATTTTACAGGAGAATAAGTTCTTTAATCAACTGATATATAATGAAAAAAATATATACAATACATAGAAAAAGATAACCTCTTTTTAAGTTAAAATCCAATCTGATTAAAAAAATTAAAATTAAAACAATAATGTGGAAAACAATTTTTTTTATTGCTGTCATCAATACCTTTAAAATTTACGCTTGTGTATGCATGATTTAGCAAATGATGCCTCCACGGTAACCAAGATTTTGATTTATTTGTTAAACGGGATTAACGAGTGAAAACAGGATTTCACAAAATTGAATTTCAAACTATCCATGAATGATTGGTTGGTTTGTCACTCTCACTTAAACTGATTTAAAGCAGACTTTGAGTTTTTAAGATATGATTTTA